TGAATTTTAAAAAATATTTCTACCACTAACTTACCTTGACTTTGTTGACAATTTGTTATTCTTTTGTAGTCCATATATTCCATCTTTCCATTTAATATATTCCAGAGAATACTAGATTTCTAAAAGACAAAAAATAGCGCCCTCTGGCCTGCTTGTTACTTATTAGATGTCTTAAAAATTTTAATTTTGTATTGTTGGGAAAGACAAGACTAAGTTTGCAAAGATTGGGTAACTAGAATCGGAGTTATAGGCGTTTTTTATTACAATATTCCCAGGCACCTCTTAATAGAAATAGAATAGTACATTGTTTACCGGGTAGGAAAAGCTTAACATTCCTGGACGACTGTGAAGATCGGCTTGCGCCTCGACTTAGCAACACAGAGTCCAGGAATGTGGCTTTTCCTACGAGGTAAACATACTATTTTTCCGCAAATCGTTTAAAATTCGACAGATATTGATTGATTAAAAAAAAACGCGATAATTTTATTCCCAAATAAATGGTGCTTTGAAATTCCTAATAAAATTACTTGGGTTACTATGGAAACGTATTGAGGTTGAATTGTCAAACTTATGTAGAACACTAACAACTGTACGGAAATATCATTTCCTTACAGTAAGGAAATGACATTTCCTTACAGTAAGGAAGTCCTGACTTTTTCTTCAAGAAATTTTGACAGGAATGTCAAAATTTCCTGGCGATTTGCGGAAAATATCTTTATTCACAAGAATTGGTTGACAAAACAAATACACGATTTAAATGACAATTAAAGTAAATAGTGTCAATATAAGAAATACAAAAGTAATAAAATTATACAATGAAAGTACTTACGAAGAGGATAAAAAATAGTACAAGAGATACAAAAGCAATAAAAATATATAAAAAGATGCAAAAGTAATAAAAATATACAATTAAAATACTTACACTTAAAATATACATAAACAAGATAAAAAAAAATTTAAATCACATGTATTGAATAAATCAACAAAAAAACGAAGTTTTTTTTCCTCCAACCTTTATCTATCTCACTAAATATTCATTGACCGAATATGGTTCAAGATATATTTCATATTTTTTATATAAGCTGTTAAAAAACTTTTTTCCATTTTAATCACATCTGGCATTTTATTATAACATTTTACACATGCATACAACGGAAACCTCTCTGTGATAGAAAATCTATGCGCAGGCATATTGTAGTTGATACTGTGGCTTCGTGTATTAAAGTTATGCTTTATGCTGTTTACTTCAAATATATGTCTAATTTTGTATATAAATACCAAGCACTCATAAATATATGTTCAAGGTACAGTCATTACACCTAATTCTTTGAATTTTCCTTTGCAGGAATCTCTAAATTTTAAACCAAACAGTATTCTAACCATTTTTTTTTCTGAATAATAAAAACTTGTTCAGCTCTGATGCTTCCTCCCCAGAAAGTTATCCCAAATCTTATATGTGAGTGGAAATTTGCAAAATAGAGAGTTCGTTTTGAGATGACATGTAAATATGGCGATATTTTTCTGAAAGAGTAACAAACTGGGTATGATACTGCTGTTTATTTTAGTTATGAAAATCATATAATTTGTTTTCTCCTTATTTACTTTAAGTATGTGCATATTGATCCACATCTGAGCCTCCTCCAAAGTAGGATGCCTGTGAGATGCCTACAGTAAGAGAAGGAATAAGGCAATTGAAAAGAGAGAAAAGAGGAAAAGGGTTTAATTGAAAAGATAGACTAAAACTAAAACTTTTTTGCGAAGAATATGGTGATCGTATTGTAGTATTGAGTAGTTCTTTATTGGCCACCCGATAAATCTCCTTTTTTAGTTTTGTCTTACAATTTTCTGTGGCCATTTGTATTCCATAATTTAACAAAACATCCAATATGTTTTTAGTTACCTCTAAGTACCTATATGTATATGTCCCTCTCCTCTACCCCTTTATCTTGTTTCCTTTCTCTTTTATTATTTTATTCGCATTATACTTGTATTTCTATTCTTCTGTATCGAAACCGTTTGTACATGTGCTATATAGGTTTATATAGAATTTTTTTATAGCCCTTTTTCTATCCGAATTGTCGAATAAAGGCCTCTCCAATTTCTCGCCATTCATCCCTGTTGTGTGCTAGGCGTTTCCACATTGGTCCTGCGACTCTTTTGATATCGTCGCTCCAGCGCATTTGAGGTCTTCCTCTTGGTCTCTTTGCATCGTACGGTCGCCAGTTTCCGACTTCTTTGTTCCATCTACCATCTTCAAGACGTTCGTTGTGTTCAGCCCATTTCCATTTTAATTTAGCTGCTTGTTTCGCGGCGTCCGTTATTTTTATTTTGTTCCGGATTGCTTCGTTCGTTTGCCGATCTATTAGTGAGATACCAAGCATCTGTCGTTCCATGGCTCGCTGAGTTTTTCGAATCTTGTCCATGTTATTTTTTGTGAATGTCCAGGATTTAGCTCCGTAAGTGAGAACGGGAAGGATACAAGAATCGAACACTTTGGTTCGAAGGTTTTGGGGTATCTTTTTATCTTTTAGTATGTATGAGAGTTTTCCAAATGCGGTCCATCCCATTCTTACTCGTCTACTTATTTCGGTAGTTTGGTTTTCTTTGTTTACCTTGATATTCTGACCCAGATATATGTATTCTTCTACATGTTCCACTTTTGTTCCTTGGATGGTTATCGTCGGTTGATCATCTTTATTCGACATTAGCTTAGTTTTACTCAGATTCATTTTCAGTCTTTTTTTTTTATGGATTCCGTATGAAGCTCATCAATCATCGTCTTCAGTTCTTTTCAGCTGTCGGCTATTAGTACTATGTCATCTGCATATCTTAAATGGTTTAAATACTTTCCGTTTATCGATAGTCCCTTCGTTTCCCAATTTAGTGATTTAAAGATGTCTTCAAGTGCGGCAGTAAATAGTTTTGGAGATATGGTGTCTCTCTGTCTTACTCCTCGGTTGATTTTTATTGGCTTCGTTTTCATTCCGTTATCCATCGTGACTACCATTTCAGCGTGTTGATATATATTATGTATTAGTATCCTATATCTAGAATCTATTCTGCTGTTGACCAGTGCTTCCTCAATAGCCCATAATTCTATGCTGTCAAAAGCTTTCTCGTAGTCTATAAATGCTAAACCGATTGGTAAATTGTATTCGTTAACTTTTTCTATTAGGACCTTTAGTGTGTGAAGATGGTCACATGTACTTAACCCTTTTCTAAATCCGGCTTGATCTACTGGTTGATATACATCGAACTTTGTTGTCAATCTATTTGTAATTATTTTTGTGAATGTTTTATAAAGTTGTGATAGTAGTGATATGGACGATAATTTTTCAGATCTGTATTGTCCCTTTTTTGTGTATTAATATTGTGTTAGCAGTATTCCATTCCTTTGGTATGTTTCCTTCAAATAGGCATTTATTAAAAAGTATTTTTAGGTACCAGATGACTTCTTCTCCGCCTTCTTTCAACATTTCTACCAGAATTCCATCACTACCCGGTGCTTTAGTTCTTTTCATTTCTTTAATTGCATTTTCTATTTCTACTTCGCTTATTTCGGGCATTACTTCTGTGATCACTACCCAGAGAGACATTATTTATTACTGTTACATCTTCTACGATACCTTTCTTGTTACATATGATGTAATCGATTTCGTTCCTTGTTTTTCCGTCTGGTGATAACCACGTCCACTTTCTTTGCGGTTTTTTCTTATAAAATGTGTTCATTACGAAATATTTGTTGCTATGTAGGAAGTTAACCAGGGTTTCTCCTCTCTCATTTCTAACACCATAGCCGAATTCACCAATATAGTTTTCACTTTCTTCTAGTCGTTGTCCAATCTTAGCGTTGAAATCTCCTATTATAAGTGTATAAGTGCTGTGATAGTTCGTGTTGGTTTCTATTATTTTCTCGTAGAACTCATCTATCTCTTCATCGGGGTGTGTTGAAGTTGGGGCGTACACTTGAATGATTTTTAGGGTGATTTTCTCGTTTATATTCATCACAATCATTGCAATTTTTTCTGAGATTCCCACATATTGTTCTATTTTATTAGCATGTTTCTTAGAAACCAGAAATCCTACGCCGTTTAGACTTTGTTCTTTGTGCCCTTTGTAATACAAGATGTTACCTGATTGCAATGTTATGCGCTCCTCACCTTTCCTTTTTACCTCTGCCAGACCAATTATGTCCCACTTTAGGTCCTTTATTTCTTCTTCTAGCTCATAGATTTTTTCATCTCTGTTTAAGGACCTTACATTGAGTGTTGCTATATTCAAGTTTGTTATTTTTAGCGATTTCTTGCTTCCCCCAGATTCCATGAAGCTGTCCTTTTTTATAAAGGACTTGCCAACACTGTATGATCTACCCACCTGCGGACTTACTCCTATCGTTTTAGAATTCCCCATCATTTTGGGGAGGTTATTAGCCTTAAAACACCGCGCTGGCCAGACGTGTTGGTGAGTGTGTATTCAGCCGTCCATTCTGGATCAGACGCTGTTCGTAGCCGTCCACTCTGGATCAGACGCTACAATTTGTGATCTTATACTATCCCTAAAATCAAGGGTTGCCAGCTCCGCCATCTTCGCCGTATCGAAAGTATTCTTCGTCGCCTTGGATGCCGTTCTGGACTTCATCCGTGACCCTAGACAAGGGACCCTTAGCAGGTGCTAGCTTCCCGGGTCAAGAAGCTCCTGGAATCTGCGGAGGGCAGGGATTGATTCACTTTCCCTGATAGGACTATCCAATAGAATCCAAGGGACTCCAAAGGAGTTCCTACCCGCTACCCGCATAATCTCTTTTAATCCTATATAGGATTAAAAGAGATTATTGTTTACTTCATCGTCAATTACTAAAAATCCTATTCCTACTATTCCTTCTATTCCTATTTTTGGGAAACAGTGCAATATTCGTTTATCACATGATAATGTATTACATAGTTTGATTACGCATGCATATTATGTATTTTTTATTAATTTACTCACTAAATTATTTTCAGTGTTCAAGAGAGGACATATCTACAAAATTAGGTATTGCGTCTATAGATAGTGTACCAGCGGTGCACATCTCTAATCCGAAAACATTGGAATTTCAAGTTTGTCGTACAACGCTTTTACCTGGTATCTTGAAAACAATAGCAGCCAATAAAAAAATGTCATTACCATTAAAAATATTTGAAATCGCCGATGTAGTTCTAAGAGATGTGGATACAGGTAACTAGTTATGATAAAGTTATGTAATGTTATTTTATTTTTACAAATATGTACATTGAGTTAATTTCGGTTTTTTATGCATATAGGCCCACCCGGTAGGATCTATGGAGTGAGTAGCATCGAACCGCAAACACCCATCTCTTGCCGTACTGCTCATCCATAAGTCGATCCGATACACCAGTATTCTATTCTAATATATGTATATATATATATATATATATATATATATATATATATATATATATATTATAATGTTTTTATTAATTCTAATTTATTGTTCTTATTTTAATTTACTAAAACACGATAATTTATATCAATTTATTTAAACCACTATACAACAATTTATTTGCTACTAATAATTACATAATTTATCTATACGTGCGTTACATTAAAACGCGAGCGCGAGCTTCTTTTGTCTGATTTCCTCAAAGAAAATCCCCGTTATTTATATGAAACCATTGGGACATCGTCGAAAGTTCGATGGCATTCTCGACGTAGATAGAGCGGCGAATGGTCTAAAAACTGGTATTTTTACATCGGCTCGTCTCCAGAAAGCTCGATTGTTGTTTTTATAGCGGAGGGGAACCTATCGTCTGTCAGGTAGGTAATACCTAGAAAAATCGTGAATGAATAGAATATTAGTAATAAATATGTTTACGGTTTTTAATATGACTCATATATTTTTTTACGTAACATTGCCCCCCTCTTAACAGATGATTCCTCCTGGAACCTTGTCGGGACTGGAACGACATGCTGGTATCAGCAACTGGACCCTCTTTTACAACTTCCAGTTGTATAAAAATGACAAGGGACGGTTTTCTCTCCGCACCAGTAACTATGCGGAATGCAACAGACTAACAACTGGACTTCGGTGTCTTTAAAGATCCCCTCCACCATATTTCGGATAACCCTTCAATCTAATTGGCGGCACTCCAACTTTATCATGGCTAACTTTTGCAACGCGAACTCTAGTACGTGCTCTCTTACTTGAAGTAAGGCTTCCCATACATCTCGATAGGTAGGTTGGTCACGACAATGTCTTTTGTTACCAGGTAGAAAGGGTAATGTGATGCATCTTGAAGTTTCAAGGCTTTCCCGGGGGCTGACACTTGGCATTGAAGTTCTGCAACTCGACCGAACTTCCTTCGAAAGACGGATGCCAACTTCGAAAGACGGATGCCAACCCTGGTGCGTCTTTGATACTGGCCGGGATGGTAAGGGCCAGTGAGTAGTCATCGGGAAGCGCGAGTAGATCTTACCTTTCTTCAGTGGTAACACCATGTCTTGCTTTTCCGGCACCTCCATAGGCCACCATGAATTCCTCAAACGTGAGGTCAGACAAATCTTGACTTGGTTTACTTCCACTTCTTCATCTACGTCGTGGTCACCTTCAAAAGACGCCAACCGGTTATGGTGTACTATCATCGGCTTTCCCCTCGGAATCTTGCTTATCCGATAAATGACATCATTGATCTTCCACATAATGAGGTATGGACCTTCCCAAAACTGCTACAAGTTGGGAGAACAACCTTTCGCTTTTTGGGATTATAGAGCCAGACTTTGTCGTCCTTCTTAAAACACCCCTTTTCGGCTTGAGTTGAAGTTGGGAACGGACCACTCGTGTACATCGTCCATTATTCTTTGTAATTCGATCACATAATCTTCACCTACTACATTTTCTCCAGGTCGACACCCAAACTCTAGATCACAAGATAGTCGTATCTCGCGTCCGAATAGGACTCTTGCTGGTGTCTGGCTTGTCGATTCATTAACAGCAGATCTGTAGGCCATTGTGAAGAACGGAAGATATTGTTTCCAGTCTCGCTGATGATCGGACACCATCTTTGTCCGTAGACTTTTTGGTACGCTTCAACCGCCTCTTATTACCCCTGGTTTTACCCAAGGTACTTAATTTTATTCAGTCTAAGTTGACCTGGGGCCAGTAGATATTTTAAAAATATCTAGATGTTTTCGCGGCCTGCTTGATTCAACTAAGATTTACATAATTGGATTTAAAAACTTGTTAATTTAATTAACACCAGTATGATTTATTACATAACATAATTGTTATGCAACTTAGGCAGGGATTATGAAAGGCGCTTCGGGAATGAATAACTGAATCAGTGGTTAAGGAGAACGATACGAAGTAATTTCTGTCAGGAACAAAAAATTACTCCTTACAAAACACTGTCAAAAAAGTTGACACTCCTTGATAATTATTATGAACTATCAGCAAATCTCGTAAAAAAAAAAATAAAAATAAAACGCTGAGTATATTACTTTACTTAGTTAACGTACCAGGAAAGCTTTTTAAATAATAATCAAAATCACACTTGGTGAGCTATGTCTAATAAAGTTTTTTTTTATAATTCAGAAGTTGGTGCCCGAAACGAGAGGAGAATATGTGCGGTAAACTGTAATACAAATGCAGGTTTCGAAGTTGTTCATGGTCTTCTTGATAGGATAATGTTACTTTTGGAAGTTCCTTGGTCACGTAAGAAGAATTCAGTTGGTTATTACTTACAAGCTGCTAATCGTAAGTGAAGTGTCTAATCAAGATACACTAATATGTTTAGTTTTGTTTAAAAGCAATTTGACATATAGACTACAAGCCCATGGGAAGTTAATAAGCGCTCCTTTGACCCAGCGTGAATCACATATAAATCAATACTATAATATGTAATAACAACTTCTCAACTATGCCGACAATTCTTATCGGTACAGGTGAGTACACAAGTAAGGTAAATTTGCCAGTCAAGGTCGTACATATCGGATAGAACAGAGGTGAGAAATCTAGGGCATAACCCTCTATTTATAAGTAGTACGAGGGGGTGATTTGAACCAATATGAAACTCACTGATTTAAATTTTATATCATAAAATAATAACGTTTTTGGCCGTACATTTTTTACGGTACATGTGATTATGAAAGAAAAATTAATTTCCCTCTGACAAGTGGGATATTACGATAAAAGTTTCTGTACGGCATTGATATGTTTTGTCAATATTGATTATCAACAAAACAAAATGTCGTAAAAAATGGTTCTAAATGGCTTTACAAATATTATCCAGATTTAGCCATAAGACTTACGTTCCCTTTGAGGCGAAAATTCACTCATCCTAGGTACTTACGGTATTGAACTGTTTTTATTAACCTAATTTATTAACTTTATTTATTATAAAAATATTCTAACACTTAGTTTATTAAAGTCTGTATTAACTTATATAAAGTCTTACAATAATTTATTTACACGATTCTAATTGGCAAAAAAGAAACACAATATTAATTTATTTTACAGCTTATGCTCTACAACAGTTTATTTTTGACTAACTTGTTTAATTAATTTTAGATTATAATTAAGAAACATTAATTTTATATTATATATATATATATATATATATATATATATATATATATATACAGTGTGTCCACTTAAGTTCGCACCATATGGGAAACTTTCTTAATATTAGTTTTACGAAAAAAAGTTATTCTTCATAAAAAGTTCTGCATGGTGTAAAAACTAAAATACAACCATCAGATATTAAAATTTTTCAGTCGTATACGAGGTATGTTCAAAAATATGAATTTTACCAAGAGCAAAGTACCTCAATTTTTTATAATATCGAAAATAGTTATCAAGAAAATTTATTTAGAAGTCTAGAACATGTTCAAATATATAGCCATGTATACAAAATGTTTAAAATGGAGATTTTCTACATTTTGCTATTGCATGTCTACCCTACAACAGTAATAAATGCATAAGTACATTTTTAATCAAGTTGCCATGATATTTACATATCTGACATTAAACTTAAAATACATATTTGACAGTTACAATAAATTCTAATTAAAGATGCCGGTGGTATTGAATTTAGAAGAAAAAATAGAAATTGTGCTAATTGTGGGTGATAATTATAAAACGTATCGGGAAGCAGCTGAAATATTTAATAACAGACATCCAGGAAGAAATATACAACATACAACAGTTATGAGACTTATGGTAAAATTCAAAGTATACGGAGATGTTAAAAATAAATTCAGCAACAAACGTGAAAAACGCGTTGCAAATGAGGCGACGAAATTAGATGTAATGTTATCTACAGTGCAAGATCCTAAATATTCTCTACGAAAGAGGGCATTGTTGTTGCAAAATGCAGGTAAAAGTACAATTACAAAAATTTTGAAGGAAAATCAGTTTAAACCATATAAGCCTAAATTTATTCATACATTGAAACCTAGAGACTACGATAAGAGAATAGAATTTTGTTTTCTTATTCAAGAAAAAATTGAAGACGATCCTTTTTTTGTTAGAAAAATAATGTTTTCAGACGAAGCTACATTTAATTCAAATGGAACGGTGAGTTCTCAAAATTGTCGATGGTGGAGTGACAACAATCCTAACTTCACAATTAGGACTCGTGATCAATATTCATTTAAAACAAATGTTTGGTGTGGCATTTACAAAGATAAAATAATTGGGCCATTTTTTTTTTCGACAATCCATGACCTCTCAGAATTATCTAAATTTCTTACAAACTCACGTGTGTGATTTTATTGATGACCTATCACTACATGAACGGCAACAAATATGGTACCAGCAGGACGGCGCTACATGTCATAGTACATTGGAAGTAAGGCAGTATCTGGATCATTTGTTTAACGGAAGAGTAATCCACAGATATTCAGAGACTTTTTGGCCAGCTAGGTCGCCAGATTTAACCCCGTTAGATTATTTCTTTTGGGGTTACTTGAAAGAGAATGTATACAAACAAGGGCCGTTTACAAACGTCCAACATTTGGAAAGGGTTATTACGGAAACCATTCAGACTATAACTCCCAACATGATTCGAAATGTGTTAAGAGAATTTTGTCGTAGAACGGAAACTTATATTGAAAGAGAAGGTGGGTACGTTGAGGCAATGGCGGTTTGATCTAAGAAAATCTATTACTTAATATTTTTTGCAAATATTTTTAACAACTTATTGTTATAATTGCTATTCATGTTAGATTGTAAAATAAATAACGTTGTTATGTGTACGAATTATTTTAAAACATCAACAAAATGCTGCAACAGTCAAGTTGGGAAACTAAAAGGTTATCAAATTTTTGATAACAAATGAGTTAAATGTTTGTTAGATATGTTTACAATTTTAAATAAATTTTCTTGATAACAATTTTCGAAATTATAAAAAATTGAGGTACTTTGCTCTTGGTAAAATTCATATTTTTGAACATACCTCGTATACGACTGAAAAATTTTAATATCTGATGGTTGTATTTTAGTTTTTACACCATGCAGAACTTTTTATGAAGAATAACTTTTTTTCGTAAAACTAATAATAAGAAAGTTTCCCATATGGTGCGAACTTAAGTGGACACACTGTATATATATATATATATATATATATATATATATATATATATATATATATATATATATAATCGCCGTTACTCTGGAATCCCTTCTAATTCGGACGATGACCTGTGTTGACCCTTCTCGAATAGGATGGAACTTCAGACAGGTTTTTTAGCGTTTCTAGAACTTACTAGAAAATACTTGTTAAAAAAAGGTGTTTACAATTTAGATATGAGTCATTATTTTTCGTAACATTACTCCCTTCTTAAAAGATTGTTCCTCCTGGAACCTTGTCGGGACTGGAACTGGAACGGTATGCTAGTATCGACAAATGGACCCTCTTTTACAACTTCCAGTTGTATAAAAATGGCAAGGCACGATTTTCTTTCCGCACCAGTAGTATGCGAATTGCAACAGACTAACACCTGGACTTCGGTGTTTTTAAAGATCTCTTCCACCATACTTCGGATAACCCTCCAATCTAATTGGCGGCACTCCAACTTTGGCATGGCTAACTTTTGCACGTCGGAATCTAGTACATGCTCTCTCAATTGAAGTAAGGCATCTCATACATCGCGGTAGGTAGGTTGGTCACGGCAATGTCTTTTGTTATCAGGTAGAAAGGGTAATGTGATGCATCTTGGAGTTTCAAGGCTTTCCCGGGAGCTGACACTTGGCATTGAAGATCTGCAACTCGACCGAACTTCCTTTGAAAGACGGGTGCCAGCCCTGGTGCGTCTTTGATACTGGCCGGGATGGGAAGGGCCAGTGAGTAGTCATTGGGAAGCGCAAGTAGATCTTGCTTTTCTTCAGTGGTAACATAATGTCTTGCTGTATCGGTACCTCTATAATGAGGTACGGACATGAGGATAAACCTACTATAAAATATTAATAGGAGAGTTGGCCAAGCAACTTATGAGTGGTCAGCCTATACACAAACATCTGGTGCTAGTCACTATCAATCCCAGGGCTATTTTAGCAGACCACAGCCTACTGATAGTGCACTATCGTCAGTACAATCTGTATACAGTGATGCTGCGTTAGTAGATCTATCTGAGTTTTAAAAATAAAAGTATGTACCTTAAAAATATTGCTAGTTTTTCTTCTGGGCAGATACTTTTCCTTCATCGAGTATCTTTATTTTTTAAATCATTTTCCAATAGTTTAAGAAGTTCATCAAAAGTAGACATTGGCATACGAATGTAATGGTAAAATTTCGATTCATCACCTCGTAACTGACTCATAGGAAACTGTAAGCACCCTCTCTAGATCTTTGGGCAATAAGTGGATGCTGCCAATAACGTCGAATCTTCCTTCTCCGACGATAGTACCAAGACAACACGACAGGCGTTCATCCTTGTAGAATAGCGGCGTATACACTGCGAGTTTTCTGTTCATATCGCATCCAGTAATGACGGATCCGTTGAACGCTATATGGTGCCTAGGTGTACAGAGCATAAATTTATGACGTATCCGTTAAGAAACCAGTAAAAAGGTCGATTCAAACACATCAGTCACGTCTCGTCACAGTCCCGGCGCCGAACCAAACAATCCGTCATACAAATTATTCTTTAATAGAAATATGCCGCCGGCATTCACATTCATCAGTTGACGAACAGTTTCCCAGCAGTCAGGTTTCGACACGTCTATCGCCCGACCGATTTTATAATCTCAGCGACGATTTTTTTGGTTTTGCCGGGAATATGACGGGCGGTACAAGTGAACAAAATAAAATTATTGACGAACAATTAATAGAATGTTTAAGAAAATATAATGTTTTATATGATTTGTCGCAGGCAAAATACATAGACATTAATTTTAAAAATAATATTTAACCAGAAAACAATTCTTCGACATGGACTTCACGTCGAACCTTTGTCGTTAACAGACGTGTTTAATAGCTAGCCTAATTACACCTAGTTTTTTTGCGATATTATTTATATTCAGTTGATAAAATTGCAATAAAGTGTAGTGTTAATATAAAAATAAATTTGAACTACTTGTATAATATAATATAATTAAAGATACTTATATCAAAACAAGTTCCTGCTACTGGATTTATCAACTACACAACTTTTGGTACCTCATTACTGATTCTGTTGTGACAAACAGGACCGTCTGAAGAATAGAGGTACCAAAATATCAATAATATTTTTAAAAATGGATGAAGATTCTGTTGG